CTCTGTTGCCTTGCGTGCGATCCGCTGCCGGCCTTTCTTGTGATGTGGAATTTCTCAAGATTGCATCCAATTTCGCCTGTTTTGCACATGAACTTTCGGCCTGATTCCTGCTCATTGTGTCCATTCTCGTTTCCAGGCTCCCTAACTGGCTGTTGACATCATCATATCGGTTTTTCAATTGTTGCATATCTTTTTTGATGTTCTTGTCTCGTTCTCCGTTAGTTGCATCTACCTTGTCTGACATCTTCTGGAGTTTCTCCTCTGTTGCCCTGGCTAGGTTAAAGTAACTATCCAGATATTCGTGCTTGTTGTATCTTAATTATTTTCTTATTACGTCTCTATCCTCCTCGCTGTGCTTCAATCTCTTGTCGATCTGCTCTAGCTTTGCCATCAAATCACCCAGCTCAAGGGAAGTTGTTTCATGATCCACTGTTGCCCTATTGTTGTCTGCTTTGTCATGTCTGGCTTGTTCTTTGCCTTAGTCGCCGTCTGTCTTTTTCGTGAGAACTGTTCCAAATGTTCGTGCTCTTTCAGTTTTCGGTTCTTCTGCTGTGTTGTTCCTCGACTTCATACCGACCATCATCGCCAACTTTTCCGTAAATGACGTTTTTCTTACTTGAGAGTCGTCTTTCACCGTTTCTGGCGTGTTGCCTGTTGTGTCTTCCAAAGCGTCTATTGGCGAGAACTCCATGGTTTTTGGATTTTGATCTTCCACATGAGGCATCGGTGTCGATTCCGTTGTTTTCTCCTCCACCTCATCCACGCTCTGGTCTGGTGTCTCTAGATTGATTTCAATAGCAGGCTCCGTCTGTTTTTCTTTAGCACCATCTTTCGTTTTGTTTTCAGTACTACTCCTCGTGCTGACCATGCTAACTGAAAAGTTTTTGTTTGTTGCCTTTGGTTCTATTGGTTTTATTTTACGTAGTGATGAGTTATACTTTGTTCTTGATTCAGTAGATCTTCTTTCTGCCACCGGTACCCTGCTCCGCCTCATTATTTTTATTTACAATTGTTCCTATTTACAGTATTACTATATACAAGTTTCTATTCTAAGAATAAAACATTTTGTGAAAAAATTGATAAAAGGAAATATACAACGTGATAAAAACAATGTTCCCAGTTCTCTTTCAAAATCTTTCGAAAGACTTACTTCATTTGTGGTCACAACCGTACCGGGTTCCGACTAGTCTTGTTCTGTTTAATCCTGTCTTAAAACTCTTATTGTAGCTTTACTCCAATTTTTATACCGTCCCAAGACTTCCAGTTACTGTCCCTACTCTTCTTTGTACCAACCCAGGCCTTCTTTCTACTATACCAAGACTGTTCGGTACTGTCCCAGTACTTTTTTGTCAGTGTCCCAAGACCCCTGTCCCAAGAGTAATATCCCAGGACCACTGTCCCAAGACTGTCCCAAGACTACTGTCCCAAGACTAGTGTCCCAAGACTACTGTCCCAAGACTAGTGTCCCAAGGCTAGTGTCCCAAGACTACTGTCCCAAGACTACTGTCCCAAGGCTAGTGTCCCAAGACTACTGTCCCAGGGCTAGTGTCCCAAGACTACTATCCCAAGACTACTGTCCCAAGACCACTGTCCCAAGACTAGTGTCCTAAGGCTACTGTCCCAAGACTAGTGTCCCAAGGCTAGTATCTCAAGACCACTCTCCCAAGACCACTATCCCAAGACTAGTGTCCCAAGGCTACTGTCCCAAGACCACTGTCCCAAGACCACTATCCCAAGACTAGTGTCCCAAGGCTACTGTCCCAAGACTACTGTACCAAGACTAGTGTCCCAAGACCACTGTCCCAAGACCACTAACCCAAGATCACTGTCCCAAGACCACTGTCCCAAGACTAGTGTCCCAAGACCACTGTCCCAAGAGCACTATCCCAAGACCACTGTCCCAAGACCACTGTCCCAATACTAGTGTCCCAAGACCACTGTCCCAAGACCGTACTGTCCCAAGGCTGTACTGTCCCAAGACTGTACCAAGACTGCTCTGGTCCAAGACTGTCCCAAGACAGCACTGTCCCAAGACTGTCCCCAGACTGCACTGTCCCAAGACTTCTTTGGTACTGTCCCAAGACTTCTTTGGTGACTAACAAGACTATCAACAAGTGTCTGAGCGGTTGGACCTCTTTTTTCTTCGCTGTAGGGACTTCTTGATTCACTGTACTTTGTACCACCACTCGAGCTCAAGTAAAAATTTCCCATAAACCCTCTCTTAATGGCCAAATGTTGACCTCCCCTGTAGTTACCTCTTTTTCGATGTTCCAAGCAACTTGAAACCAAAACATGTGCGCAGGTATCTTGTGATCACCTGTTCGTATAAAAACCAAACACAAATCCTCACCAAAATGCAACAAAAAATTTAAACAAGAAAAAGTAATAAAAACAGAGAGATAAACCCACCTAAAATTCAAAGGTGACAAATGTCTACCTTCTATCGAAAAAAAATGTCTGGTACCTAATTGCCACGCGTTTTCCTCCCCCCTACTAACGATCTTATCGGGTATCACAAAAACTGTCTATGTCCGTTCACCCCTACTGATCCAACCAGGGTACCTACCTTAACGCGATGTTAAATTTGGATATCTACCTACTATTACCAACGCGTGTGAATATCAAATGTAACTAAATCAACGATGTCGGTTAATTAGTTACTCTAATTTCCTCCATTTTTACAATTTTCAACCGCCAACCTCTAACCTAACCAGCCCCCCTTCTAACCTCCCCCCTCTTTAGCCCCCCTTCTTAAATCTAAAATTACCTTAAGCGCCGGGTGCTAAACCTCTCAAGAGAAAACCGTAGACCTGTCTCCAGGCCTGCTCATGTAAAAACGTTCCTCAAAACCGGGGGATTTCGCTTATCCAATTTTACACTTATTTCCTATAATGTAATGTGGATTTTAACGATACCCGTTTTGACCAACTTGAGAACTCGAGAACAGCCAAATCCTCCTTGACCACTCTCCCACTCGGCTGGTCACCTCTTCCAGTCAAGACTCCTATTGGTTCAGCCCAAATCCTCCTGAACCGCTTTCCCAGTCGACTGGTCACCTCTTCCAGTCGAGTCTCCTAATGGTTCAGCCCAAATCCTCCTGAACCACTTTCCCACTCGGCTGGTCACCTCTTCCAGTCAAGTGTCCTAGTTGTCCGGCTAAGTTCCAAGCTATCTGAAAACCCTTGACAGCGCCCCACACTCGGGCACTTTATTGAGGTTACTGGGTTAAATTGCTAGATTGATCGAAACGATCGAACTTGTAAAACAGTATGGGTATACTATTTAATTAATATAAAGGTTTGATCCAACTAATCTGGTGTCAAAGTCACTGTCTTTTTTCGTTTTATGGTTTTTGTTCCTTTTTCTATTCTTTTTTTTGTTTGTTTTTGTTTCGCTTTTTGTCTTTTTTGCTCGTATTTTTGTCCCCCCAATCGCCCCCCTTACTCGGTTAGCTAAGCCTCGTTCGGAGAGCGTACCAGGAAGTTTTCTCGAGTTTTCTTGAAAAGCTATCACGGTACAACCGGAAGGTTTGCACGTTCCCGCCGAACCAAACCACCGCTACTCTAGAATGGGCATGCAGCCCGGAGCTGTGTTAAGTGGGTTCGACTCCGTAGTCTTGATGTCGTAAAAACTTCCAGGAGCGCCATAAAAACACTATGTAACATTCGTCTACTTCAGTCACATATGAGGCTTAAGAAAAATAGGCCCTATAACCATTGGCTCAAGAGTCAGGGACACTATCTCTTCTGTTTTTCTACCTCAAAACGGTCGGAGCCAATTCGGTTCGCTTGCGACATGAGACTACAACCCGTTACAGCTTAAAGGCTACTACCAAAATATCCCCCCACTCTAGAAATAAGAAAGTCCCCATACTACACATAATACACGAACGCCGTTAAAAACCGGGTCGGAACAATCCGTTAAGTTACTTTTTGTTAGACAGTGGAACTTTGATCCATTTCAGATGGATCAACCTAAAACTCGCCTTATCTCAACATAACAGTCATAAAATACACTCAAGAACATTAAATTAGGGACTCTCATGTTGATGCACTCAAGCACAGGGAGTAATTAAATGGATGAGCAACTCTAGAATTAAGTAAGATAACTAGATAAGTTCAACACTAATCAGTTTTCACAACAGAAGCAAGCTTTCACTCTAGAATTTGGAGTTTTATATGAACCATTGGAACACTCAAGCTGTCCACCTTTCCATCGAAGGTTCACTCTGGTCCAGTTCAAATAGTTGTTCTCTCGGGAATACTCTGTCTTCTATCTCAGATAGGACAGCTCTACTCTTGTTATCAATGATGGAAATTGCGAATAGCGATTTCCCGCGATTGTAAATTCGGTCGTTCTAATTTTTCTTGTTATTTTCAGTTTCCGCGAGAAAATTGAGCATGACCGTCTCAATTCGAAATTTCGAAAAATTAAATTTCACTCCAAAATCAAGTGTTCTCGTGTCCCTCAAGGTCAAACGTCCGAATATGACCGACTCGCACACGTGTTGAAGATGACGTTACAGACACTGAATGTAACATTCGCCCGGAAGTACATATCGACGGACAATAAAGCTAGATTCTAAAACGACAGGCTAGCGTCTAAACACAGCTCTACATGCTTTTCACCGTATCTGCCAAAGCCAGTTCTTTGGTGCTTTTCCTAACATCGGGTCGACAAAAACGTTACTGTTCTCCGGCTTCGGTCAAAACATTCAAATTGACATAGATACATGCAAAATTAGTGAGCTCATGGCTGGGTCTCTGTATCCCCAGACCACGAGGTCACTCCTAAAAAACAATGCTACTACTATTTTTTATATTACTATTGTTTTTGTTCAGTAGATAAAAATCATCATCTCCATCGAAGATGGATCAACCCTTTCCCTCAACTCCTAGCTTCTCATTATCTGAAAATGAATCGAGATGTTAAATAAATTCAATTCAGGGCCGAAATGAAAAAGAATCGAGATGTTAAATAAATTCAATTTTAGCCTAATTGTTGTGATAAACTTATTAAATAGATGGCATGCTGAAGACTTGACGAATATCACAATATGGCATCGACGCCGACAACTCAATCCCGTGGGCGCATCGGATCCCAGCGACCAACATCCTGCTTCTGTGGAAATCCAGACGAGCATGGTTTCATGGTTGGCTGCGATGCCTGCGACTCCTGGTTTCACGGCGAATGTGGACGCAGCGGACAATCTCACGTTTTTTCGATGCGGATCATGTGAAGCAGCGGATGTACCCGTCAGACGTTGTAAAGTATGCAAGGTGAATGTCCAACTCACTCAAGCTGGACTGGTACGATTGTACAAAGTCAACGGGAGCAAATGCAATAACCATGGTACCTCAGAGTACGACGTAGTAAGTTCTGTCAACGAACCACAGTGCATAAAACTTTTGCGTGCTTTTTGTTCTGATAGACTTGACTGCCTCATGCGTGTTCCTAAAGCCTCACGGAACAACTTAGCCCGTGCTTTTATTACTGTTTTTGACAAAATGTGTTCACAGCCGGATCTTTTGTCCCATTGGTGCAGTTTATTTACTCTTATTGGTAAATGCCTATCAGTAACCAAGAAGGATAATAATAACAGTCAGTCACTAGCTTCCAAGGTCAATGAGCGGATTCGTGCTTTCCAGTCTGGTGCAGAAGCCCCAGTCACCCGCGACCAAAAGAAAGCGAGGAAACCTAAGCCTTCTCCAGGCAGTCTCCCTCTGAAGAGCTGAGCAAGCGCGTCTCTGTCAAGATAGAAGCCTCCGACATCAAAGGCGCCATTCTTGTTGCCTCCTCAGATGAAGAAATTGTGGATCCTGGTGACCCTGCTGTTGTGGAAGAGCTGAGGAAAAAACATCCCCCGCATTCCAATGCTGTCTCTTCCATCCAGTCTCTTCTTCAGAGTATCCGGTTGTTTGCCGCGTCTCCAGTGTCTCCGAAGCCATTCAGTCTTTTTCTTCTGGTTCTGCTGCTGGGCCTGATCGAGTGACTCCGCAGATTCTTAAAGACCTGATCAGTCAACGTGGAGAAGCCTCACAGCCCTTCTTGAGTAGTCTCACGTCTTTTATCAACATGGTTCTGGCAGGAAAAGTCCCGGTTCTCATTCGCCCGTTTGTGTTTGGAGCTAATCTGTTCGCCCTGAGCAAGAAGACTGGAGGAGTTCGTCTCATTGCTGTGGGAAACGTCTTCCGCAGATTGGCCTCCAAATATGGTGGACGCGCCTACTCAACTGCTAAAAAAGAGTTATACGGCGCCCGTCAACTAGTCTATGGCACGCCTCGAGGAGCAGAGGCTGCAGTCCACGCCACGCGAATGTACATACATGAAAATATTGAAAGTAGCGGCAAGGTCTGTGCCATTCGGTCATATTCGGAAGTTTGACCTTGAGAGACACGACAACACTTGATTTTGGAGTAAAATTTAATTTTTCGAAATTTCGAATTGAGCCGGTCATGCTCAATTTTTTCGCGAAAACTAAAAATAACAAGAAAAATCAGAACAACCGAGTTACAATTGCGGGAAAGTTGTCAGATAAAAACAGTGGGAAATTGTTATTTGCAATTTCCATCATAGATAACAAGAGTAGAGCTGTCCTACCTGAGATAGAAGACAGAGTATTCCCGAGAGAACAACTATTCGAACTGGACCAGAGTGAACCTTCGATGGAAAGGTGGACAGCTTGAGTGTCCCAATGGTTCATATAAAACTCCAAATTCTAGAGTCAAAACTTGCTTCTGTTATCAAAACTGATTAGTGTTGAACTTATCTAGTTATCTTACTGAATTCTAGTGTTGCTCATCCATTAAATTACTCCCTGTGCTTGAGTGCATCAACATGTGAGTCCCTAATTCAATTTGCTTGAGCGTATTTTTTGATTGTTATGTTGAGATAAGGCGAGTTTTAGGTTGATCCATCTGAAATGGATCAAAGTTCCACTGTCTAATAAAAAGTAACATAACGGATTGTTCCGACCCGGTTCTTAACGGCATTCGTGTATTATGGGTATCTAGAGACCTAAGTTTGGGGACGTTCTTATTTATAGAGTGAAGGGGGATATTTTGGCAGTAGCCTTTAAGCTGTAACGGGTCGTAGTCTCATGTCACAAGCGAACCGAATTGGCTCCGACCGTTTTGAGGTAGAAAAACACAAGAGATAGTGTCCCTGACTCTTGAGCCAATGGTTATAGGGCCTATCTTTCTTAAGCCTCATATGTGACCGCAGTAGACGAATGTTACAGTCATTCTCAAAAGCGATTTCAAGAACGCGTTCAATTCCATCTAACAAGTTTCTATCTCTGATTCACGAGCGTTATCCAGGTCTTTATCCTTATACGCACGCAGCTTATCACTCCGCATCACATCTTTTCATCGATGATTCCGCTTTGTCTTCAGACAAAGGTGGTCAGCAAGGCGACTCTGAGGCACCGCCAATTTTCTGTGATACTGTGCACGAAATCACCAACAAAATAGAATCAGAGTTGAACCTGTTGTATCTAGACGATGGTAACTTAGGCGGAGATTATGCCATCATCCTGCGCGACTTCCGCATGATCATCTCCGAAAGTTCCAAGTTAGGTCTCGAGGTCCGTCCCGACAAGTGCGAGCTGTATTTTTTAGGCAACTCATCGGAGACACAAAAGTCACTCATCTTGTCAGAGTTCAACAAGATCTCCCCGTTGATAGAAACTCCGGGCATCGACAACTTGATAATCCTGAGGGCTCCTATAGGGAATCTTGCCATCTCCAATGCTCTCAGTGACAAGATAGTTGATCTGGAGCGCATGTGTTTGCGTCTGAAAACATCGAGGCTCATCGTGCTTTCTTTCTTTTGAAGAGTTCGTTTTCTATCCCGAAGTTGTTATATATCCTTCGCTCCTCTCCGTGTTTCAACAAACCTGAACTCTTAGCTAAATACGACGACATCCTCTATTCCAGCCTCGAGAGCATCTGCAACATGAGACTTGATACTGACGCCCGCAAGCAAGCGTCCCTTCCCGCAGCTTTAGGTGGTCTCGGATTAGGATCTGCGTCTGTTCTAGCCGTATGCGAGTATCTCTCGTCTGTTGGCAGTTCTTCACGTCTTTGTTCCGAAATCCTCAATAAGCTTTTATCAGACCTTTTGTATGAAGGAGCCTTGTCACAATGGTATGAGCTCTCTGGCTCCACCACTATCCCCGAGAACAACTTTCAGAAGTCTTGGTCTGACCCCGTATACAGAACCCGGCTTAATAATCTGATCGCCCACGCACCTGACGATAAATCTCGCATTCGCCTTAAGTCTTTCGAGGGTAAGCTACAGTCTGCTTGGCTCACCGCCCTGCTGTCAAGTTCTTTGGGCCTCAAGCTTTCCAATATCCATCTCAGAATATCTCTCGCTCTTCGTCTTGCTATTCCCATATGTGAGCCTCACGTCTGCCGTTGTGGTGAGCACGTCGACACTTTTGGAGGGTAGGGTCTTTCGTGCAGGAGAAGCGCCGGCAGGCTTCAGCGCCACTCATTGATTAACGATGTAGTGAAGCGAGTTTTAGGATCGAGCAACCTTCCTTCAGTTCTCGAGCCTCCTGGTCTGTCCACAGCAGACCAGAAACGTCCAGATGGACTCACGTTGGTGCCTTGGGAGAGAAGTCAGTCACTCAAATGGGATGCCACTGTTGTCGACGCCCTGGCACCACGCCGTCTGTCCTCTGGAACTGCAATTCTCTGCTGCCTCTGAAGCCGAAACCGTAAAACCTCGAAATACGCTGACTTAATAAGTCGAGGATACTTTTTCGCCCCAGTTGCTTTCGAGATCCAAGGCGGATGCGGTCCACAAACGCTAAAATTTCTCAATGAGCCAGTTTACCCTTAAATATCTGTTTATATTTTGTACATAAACTCACATTATGTACATACCTTGCTTTCTGTTCATTTCAATATCGTCTATGTTGTCCATATCCGGCCTTCTTCTAGTGGTTTTTAAGGTGCGTGATACTACCATGATGATTTGATGTTTTTTTTATTCCTGTAAATAATTATATGTGCAATTTGTACATAGTTCCATTGGAATATGTTGGCATTTGAGGATTAATGAAAAAAACTAAATTTTATTCAGGGCATGGCCAGGAAGCTAAAAGTTAGTTTTTATCAGTTCTAGTTCAGGTCTCGAGACCCCTCCGAATTCTGGAGTCCAGGGAAAAAACGCTCATATTTCATCTCCGGAAGGCTGGACGCTGTCCCAACACCTTTCTCCGTTGGGGTGATCATATTTTTTTATTAGGGTAATCAGAAGGTCAAAAGTATCATAGTAACCGAGGTTACAGTCAGGAGTACCTTCATCACGTATTCCAGTCAAAATCCTTGGAGTTTTCTAGATATGGAAGTGATAAAGATAAAAGAAGATGACACGTTTTTAATTCCTTTTCAATTAAAGTCGATACGGGTTACGTTTCTTCAATAAGAGCACGCAACTCGACACGAGAAAATATACTATACAAGTGTTACAAATAAAAAATTTCGTCGAAAGTTGTTTTGTCATTTACTGTTCCGAGAACGCAAGCGGCGTTCGCAATTTGTATTACCAGGGAGATTCACTGTTTTAAAAAGCTGCCTGCTCAGGGTTCCTCAGTGCATTTGCTTAGGTTTTTACAAAGCTTGCTCAAAAAAATAATTTCTGTGCTGACCGGCCGCGCCCTAAATTTCAAAAGCTAGCGGTTGAAAAAGATATCCATCATCTACAAGATCTTTATACTTGTCTTTTTTTCGCTTTTCCGCTTGAGCGGCAGCCGTACCAGGGTTACAAACAGGCCCGGCATTAATCCTACAAGGAGCTAAGTATTCTACAACCGTTACATCCCACAAGAGCTGCTTACCAACAGCCCATGGAACGAGCGTCAAACAGTCTGGTCGCTTCTGATCGGTCCTGTAGAGGTGTCGTGGTTCTAAAACAGACGGAATGTGAGTAGAAGATCAATTCTGCTTTATACTGGCATTCAAGTTTGAATGCCTAGAGAATCTCCCTGCACTTTTGAGACATGAAAAAC